GATTCATAGAATTTTATGGACTAGTTGAAGCTCAAGATAACCGGTGATGTCCATCTAGCAGCCATCACTGTAGGTTTTCATTTTTACGCCGACAATGTTGTTAGCCTGGTGATTATATTCGTGTGCAAAAGTGTTTCGTATACGCCCATACTCTCAAATCAAGAATAGGGTTTCAATCCTCAAGGTTAAGGCGAATATGGCAGGTTAGAATATTGGGAGCCTACTGAGATGGTCGAGTTTGACCATTATTCAGATACTTGCATGCTTGCATCAATCACTGATGCTGCTACATCGAAGATTGGCATAAGTTTTCATGGTTTCACTGACCCTTCTCTTAGCCGAATCACGGTACTCAAGTATGAAAGAAACGCTTCATGTATCATAGTGCCGTCTAGTAAGGAGTATAGCTTTGACTATCGTCATTAATATTAGTGATGCAACGATGACGATAATCGTAGGTACGGTTACGGGTTCACTACATTAACCATGAATACGGTTATTGATGCAACTAATAAAACCGTACCTATGGTTTCTGGGCTAATTACGATAGCCATAGGTACAGTTATCAGTTCTTGGAGGCTTTCGTGAAACACAGTATTTTCTAAGACACTAACGATTTCCTATCAAGGCTGACGAAAGATGATCGGGGTTGGAAAATCTGAACTTGAGATCAAATTTTGAAAATGTTAAACTTGACTTTTTACGCTAAGAAAAGGATTTTTAAGAAGATACTGATATTTAATAAAGAGTAACGAAAGTAAATCGGTTTCCAGGGACTCGAACCTGATATCAATTTTCCAAAGTTCTGCATTTCAATTATCAATGAAAAGCTTTCTTCCTGAATGTTGTAGTTTTCCTAGGTATTAGAGTTGAATGCGTCAAGTTGCACTTCCTTTCGTCAAGATATCAAGAAAATAGTTACTTTCATAATAAACATTTCCTTAATCTAAAAACTTCAGTTCGAAATTTTCAAGGCCTGACTTCAAATTCAGACTCTCCAGCCCCGGTTTACTCCGTCATCTCTTATAAAAATCATTACTTTCTTAAAAATGCCGTTTTTCGTGACAACCAATTTGATCTAATAACTATACCTAGAATGATCGTAGTTTAACCGGTAACTGTAGGTGTGGTTATTACAGTCGGGCCAATAGCCGTACCTACGGCACACGTAGTTTGGCTACTAACGGTAGATACAGTTATCGTACGTAGACCGATATCCATGGGTATGCTTATCGTAGTTAGACCGGTGACCGTAGGTATGATTATATCATCTCGCTGGTAACCATCAATACGTTTATCGTAGTTGGGCTGATAACCGTAGGTACGTTTATCGTAGTTGGACCGATAGCTGTACCTACGGTAATCGTAGCTAGGCGAGTAACCGTAACCTCAGTGACGGTAATTAGATAGATAAATGTAGCTGTGGCTATGGTAGTTGGATTGATCACCGTACTTACGGTGATGGTAGTTAGATCGATAACCGTAGGTACAGTAATCCTAGTTGGACCAGTAACCATTGGTGCGATTATCGTGATTGGATCGAAAAACTTAGGAGGTACAATGATTCTAGTTGTACCAGTAACCGTACGTACGGTTATCGGTTTGGATCAGCGAAACAATGACGGTTAACTGGTGAATGGCCTCCACCGTTGTGTGCCTAGTAAATATTAATTCTGTCCATTTAGAACTACGAAAATCTGCGGTGATGACCGGTTTCCGATATTACTCAAACAACATCAGACTCAATCCATCCTGCGGTACTAATGCGCCGGTCTCCATTGGGGCTTTTTATAGCTTTACCGGCTTGATTCTCTCCTTTACTCAGAAGTTCTGATGAGTATTTCCCAAAATTAATCA